GAGGAGGTGTGGCCTTGTTGGAGGAGGTGTGGCCTTGTTGGAGCAGGTGCATCATTGGCTTTGGTTTTTCAGATGTTTAAGCCAGGCCCAATGTCTCTGTCTTCTTGCTGCCTTTGGATCTGCATGTAGAACTCTTAGGTACCATGTCTGCCATGCTCCGGCCATGTTTCCCACCATGATGATGATGATGGACTAAACCTCTAAACTGTAAGCCAGCCCTAATTGCATGCTTTTCTTCATAAGAGTTGCTGTGGTCATGGTGTCTCTTCACAGCAATAGAAACCCTAACTAATAAGACACTAGGTAATGAAGGTATCAAATCATCAAGATGGCCAGCTCCTTCCTCACCCTCCTGACTTGAGACAGAAGCCTGGCAACTTAAAACAAAGGCCTTGTAGGCTTTTGCCGCCCCCTAGCAGGCCCCTGCTGTGGACTGGCTCAGCAAATTCAAATCCTCTTCAGGACACCCAACAGTTTTGGGCCAATCAACCTGTCTTCAAACTGATCAGCTCTAAAGTAGGGGAGGAAAATCTTCCGAGGCATTAACCCCCCAGCCCTCAAGAAGCGACTGGACCTTCAGTTTTGCAGAGGGTCTTTTCTCCGTGTGTCTGCTGCATGTGTGTGCTTCCTCGTCCCTAGTAAATGCCTTTCCTCAACTAATGATTCTGCCTGAGGTGAGTGCTTGAGGTTTCTCTGCTGTTTCCTGCTGTACTCCAAAGTTTTCCTTTTAATTCTTTAACTGGCAGAGAAAATGAACCCTATCCAGACCCCTAGATTGTATCACCTATTTATAGATGGATGGATGGGTGGGTGGATGGGTGGATGGATGGGTGGATGGGTGGATGGATGGATGGATGGATGGATGGATGGATGGATGGATGGATGGATGGATGGATGGATGGATGGGTGGATGGATGAGTGGGTGCATGGGTGGATGGATGGATGGGTGGATGGATGAATGGATGGATAGATAGGTAGATAGATAGACAAATGGATAAAATGGTAGCTGATTGGTCTACTTATATTAAAGATACATTTTTATTGATATACTTTTTTCATTTGTTTGTTTATTTTGAAACAAAGTTTCATGTAGCCTTTGCTGGCTTTGAATTTACTATAGCCAAGGATGGCCTTGAGTTTCCTGATCTTCCTGTTGTCTAATCCAAAGGAAACTCCATTTCCCCTAATTCTGGCAGTTAGACAAAAGCCAGCATTCCTCAGGGACTTGTGCAGCCAGGTCCTTTCCATCAAAAGGAGACATTTCTCTTATTGACAGAGGGTCAAATGGCTATCTATAGAGCTTGTTAGCATACATGCTGGACTCCAGGCTCCCTCAGTATCACAAGTACTGTTACACATTCCCCAGTCCATGCCAGCTTCCTGGCTCTTCTCACTCCCTCCCCTCCCGAAACACCTTCCAGGTCCGGGCTTCCCTCCCCCGGGGTTCAGTCTGCTTATAACCCTGCTGTCTTGGCTAATGCTTCCTCTTCTTTGGTTCCTCACCCGCCTTGTCTTCCCCTCTCAGTTTCTCTCTCTCTCTTTCCCTGTCTCCCCCTCTCCCTCTCTCTTACCCCTCCCCCCATCTATATTCCTCTCTTTGCTCTGCTCCTGTTTCAGGACCAGGTTGAGTCTGCTGGCTGTGTTCAGTGTCCCACTTTCTCTCTGCTCGGGACTCGTCCAGATGCCTCTGGCTGTACTCGCTCTCATATCTACAATAAAATCTGCCCCCAACCACACCATGGAGGGGCCGTGCCAGTTTGTATACCTGCCTCTGCCTCCCAAGTGCTTGGATTACAGGCAGGTGCCGCCACACCCAACTTGATCCAGTGGTAGGGGTGGTAGTGGTGGCGGTTTCTGTCATGTGGCCTCCTGAGGACAGAACGCTCAAGGCAACCTAGGCATGAGGGAAAGTGGCCACCTTTCTGCCTGTGATCCCGATGCCACCCAAAGTCTCTGAGGCAGGCAGGCTGTATCACGACAGCCAGTTTCTGAAGTCTGTTTACTGCAGGGGACTGGCAGGTAGGGGACTTTCCTTTGACCAGACAATAAAACAGAGGAAACTAAGCTGTCCCTGATCCATGGATGGAAATTGTCCTTTCATACTTCTTTTCCTGAGTGTTGTCCCCTCCCCGCCTCAGGCTGCCAGGAAGTTGATGGAACAGCTGTCCCCAGCTGGGTGTGACCCATCAATTTATCATCTCTCCTCACCCCATCCCAACAATCTCCCTCCCCATTCATCCCCCGACCCCCTACCCCACCCTACCCCACCCCACCCCCGCTGAAAATGCCTGAGCACAGTCTCCTATTTTAAGAGCTAAATTCCCTGTCGGCATAGCAACTTGGAGGCTGTAACTCTTGTCAGTTGGCGCTGGGATGGCAGCAAAGCCACCTCTGCCCAGGGCCGCAGCTGGCCTGCAGCAGAGGGCAGATCCAGACTTATGCACACACAGACATCTCCACCTCGTCTTCTTCTTTGCCCACTTTTCAGTCCTTTAAAAATGTGAAAACCACCCTTAGATTGCTAAAAAAAAAAAAAAAAAAAAAAAAAAAGCTCCTATCTATGGAAAAGGAACGATGTGAGTAATTTT